GAAAAAATAAGAATTGATCAGTGCTACTAAATTGATCCTTGTAAAAGCCATTTCTAATTTACAGTCTCAGCAACAACATTTATTTCCTCACTGACAGTGCTTATTATCCCTCAGCCTGCAACATTGCACATTTTTAATTTACTTCTGATATGGAAAAACTATACCACAATCTTTTAGTTTATAGCTCCCTGATTAAACATACTTTTGTTTAATGGCTGTTTATAATTTCAAGGAACTAAATTTTCATCAAATTTCCTGCTCAAAGTTTTGCTCAGTTATCAAGTTGATTTTTGAAATTCTGTGTACATTCTGGATATTATGACAAGACTCTTTTTCCATGTGTTCCTTGTCTTTTAATATTGTTTATGTTACGTATGTTTGATTTTTATGTACCCAAATTATTAATTTGTTATGGCTTTGATTTTTTGTCTTGCTTATGACAGCCTTCCTTATTTCAAAATTATAAAAAAAAATTTACATTCTTCTTACTAATTTGTTTTTCAGTAAGCTTTAAAATTGCTTCATTTAGAGGAAACATTTTCGCTCTCCTCTAGGTTTAAAATATTTTGGATGCTTTCATATTTAGCTTGCTTCTTGGTAGAATTGGTGTACCTAGCCTGTGGCTAAGAGAAGTTAACCTCTTTATTTTTCTTTTTGTCCTAATTGAAGGAGGTGAGCCTTCCCAGCTGATACCTTGGGCTGTTGCTATTGTTTGCATTTCACTTCTTGGGGCCTGTTTTATTGCTAGTTGTCTGGGTAAGTTGTTAGCCAAAGTGCCACTCTTCTTGAATTATTTTCCCAAACAACTTTCATAAAGTTGCTGTAAGCCTTAGCTGTCTTGATTTTCCCAACACAATCTCCAACAATATGCCTTGGAGATGTTTTATGCTAGTACATACCGCTATACATGATTCAGTGTCAATCTATAATGCCTTCAGTGTCCTGGATTTAAAATTCAAAGTTGTATACTTAACCTTCCATTTTTTTGAGAGTGTTGCTTTACATCAGGGGATAAAAGATGGAATTTAGATCATTTTCTGTATACGTAAAATTCGATTAGTATGTTAATTTGTTTTTACACTACTATAAAGAAATGCCCAAGGTTGGGTAATTTATGAAGAAAAGAGGTTTATTTGGCTCAGGGCTCTCATTGTACAAGCATGGCACCAGTGTCTACTTATGGTAAGGTTTTAGGGATCTTTCAGTCAGGAAGGAAGGAGAAGGAGGAAAAGGTGTGTCACATGGAGAGATCAGGAGCAAGAGAGGCAGAAGGAAGTGCCACCCTCAGTTAAACAACCTAATAAAGTAAGAACATACTCATTATCAGAGGGAGGGCATGAAGCCATTCCTGCAGGATCTTTCTCCTTGGCCAAAACACTTCCCACCAGGCTGTACCTCCAACACAGGGAATCAAATTTTAACATGACATTTGGAGGGGCCAAACATCCAAACCTTAGTGATGAGCATAGCAAATTATCCCGTATTTTGGACTGGTATTACAAAGTGCTATGTTTTATGAGCCAAGAGTAAGCAGCAAAAAAAAGCAAGTCTCAGACAGACTGGCTTTAAAAAGAACAAGGTTGGAACACTTGTTCTTATTTCTTTTGTCTGTTTGAAACTCTTTGTTGAGGTTTTATTAACATACAAAAAGCTGCACATATTTAGTGTCTATATCTCAAGTTTAGGAATAAGTCTACACTCCTGAAGCCATCACCACCATCAAAATGATAGGAATGCATTCTTCCTGATTTCAGAATCTAAAATAAAGTTATTATAACTTCAGTACTGTGGTATAGGTATAAGACAAATGGACAGGAGGAAAATTATAAAAATATCACCTTACCCTTGTTAGAATGGTTTTTACTAACAAGTCCAAAAAAGATAGATGCTGGAAGGGATGTAGAGAGGAGGGAACTCTTACATATTCTTGGTGGGATGACAAATTAGTACACATTTTTTGGAAAACAGTATGGCAATATCTCAAATAACTAAAATCATTTTTATACCGACCATTTGATCCAGCAATCCTATTACTGGGTATATATCCAAAGGAAAAGAAGGCTTTCTATCAAAAGGACACCTGCACTTGAATGTTTATTGCAGCATAATTCGTAATTTCAAGGATGTGAAATCAACCCAAGTGCCCACAGATTCATGAGTGCGTTAATAAGATGTGGTGTGTATAAATATTCTATGGAATACTACTCAGCCACAAAAGAGGATAACTTAATGGCTTTTGCAATCATTTGGATGGAACTAGAGATTATTCTCCTAAGGGAAGTATCTCAGGAATGGAAAAACATACCCCATATATATTCACTATTAAGTTGGAACTAACAAATTAGCACACATGGGTGCAGAGGGAAGTAAAACTTAGTGGAAGACAAGCAGAGAAAGAGGCGAGGGGCAAAAGATAGATAGAATCTATCACCTATAGATAAAGTGAACACTGGGTGATGTATACACCTATAGCCATTACTCAATACTACAAAGCTACCCATGTAACCAAAATCATTTGTATTCCCTAATATTTTGAAATTTAAAAAAAAGTACCAAATAAGCACAACAGAAAAGAATAAATGGAATGTGTAACAAATGCACACAAAAGGGTCAATCTCATTAGTTATCAGGGAAATCAAATGCAACTTACAATGAGATGCCATTGCAAACATTACAGAATAGCAAATGCTAGAACTTTGTGAGGCCAAAGTGGGAGGATCAAGAGTTCAAGACCAGACTGAGCAAAGTGAGGTCCCATCTCTACTGAAAATAGAAAAATTAGTCGGGCATCATGGCAGGTGCCTGTAGTCCCAGCTACTGGGGAGGCTGAGGCAGGAGGATCACTTGAACCTAGGAGTTTGAGGTTACTATGAGGTAGGCTGACACCATTGCACTCTAGTCTGGGGCAACAGAGTGAGACTCTAAGAAAAAAAGGGTATGGTGCTACCAAATATTGATAATGCTGTGGGGCAACTGCCCTTATAATGAATTGCAACTGGTGGGAAATTTGGAAAAGTTCACTGGTATCATAGTTTTCAATATGCATAGCCTATTACCAGCAATTCCACTCCTAGATCTGTATCCTACAGAAATGCCTGCATGTGTTCTAGGTTGCATGGTCAAAAATGCTCAGGGTAGCATAGTTCACAATAGCCAGATACTGGAAACAATGCATATATACACCAGAAGTAGATTAGGTAAATATGTTTTATTTCACAAAGGCAATAGATCACTTTCTAGCAATGAAAATGGATGAATTACAGATACATGCAACGACCTGGATAAATTCCAGAAACAATGCTGAGCAGAAGATAGAACCAGAATACATACCAGATGATTGCATTGATAGAAAGTTCACAAGCAAGCAAATCTGATCTCCATGGTTTTGGGATATGTTATTAAGTGGTATAATTGTGAGGAGTGTTACTTTAAAAGCCACAAAATTTTTACATTCAAGGGGGAAAAAAGGTTGCATTTGGGATGTGAAGGCTACTTGGGGTGTTGATAATATTCTGTTTCTTGAGCTGGGTAGTTATTTCCTGGAGAGTTCACTTTACAATAATTTGCTAAACTATGCATTTATGTTTTTCACTTTTTTGCATTTGGTTATATTTTAAAGTAAAAACATTTTTTAAAAAAGTGTACAGCTTATAAATCTTTGACGAACTATCCTAGTGCTCACAAAAATTCCTCACTCTAACACAAATTTTGATAGAAATATATGCTTAAAAGCATGTGTACACAAAAGTTTGCAAAATTACTACTATGAAGCACAAAATTAACAACATGATAATAAAAATACAATATTAATTTTCAACAGTTTCAACCAACTAGAGCTGGAGCTAGAACAAAAGAACTACATAGGAAGAAAAGAGAATGCGAGAGCCTCACCTATTAAGATAAGAGAAAGGGGCTCGGCACCTATGGCTCAAGTGGCTAAGGCACCAGCCACATACACCTAAGGTGGCAGGTTCGATCCAGCCTGGGCCCGCCAAACAACAATGATGGCTGCAACCAAAACATAGCCGGGCGTTGTGGCAGGCGCCTGTGGTCCCAGCTACTTGGGAGGCTGAGGCAGGAGACTCGCTT